TATCGGCGTATAACACGCATACATCATTTGCCCCCTATTTTCAGGGGGGAAAAAGTGCGTGTTATACGCCGATAAATACGGTATATTTCATAAAGAGATCATTATAACGCAATACTGTAAGGATAGACTAGGACAGAAGTACACTGCATTGACAAGGACAGTTGCAGTCCTTTGTGGTTTCTAGAGTCTTTTCTAATTATGCCTAAGTATTTGCCTCCCAAACATTTTGATAAAGAAAAAACAAAGTGTATGTTTTATGTCCTAAGCCAATTTAAAAACAAAGTAGCCTCAATGTCCTATGCCAGAGAATTCTGATGTCAACCCTTTTTATGTTTGTGATGTAGCCCTTTCCATTTTGCATTAATTGCCCAACTTCCTGCAACCCTCAGAAGACCCCAAAAGTTAAATGTGGCCCCAACAACCAAAAGATTATTTACTTCTTATCGTATTAAATAAAAAGTTTTAAAACATGACACAATGTCAGTTAAATGTTTCCCTTGCAAAATGTCTTAAGACTTAGCCTAATTTTTAACAAAGTTTCTTCATAGCCTATAGAATTTTCTTTCTACTGTTTAATAAAGGACAAAGCAGTTGCAGTTCCAGCACTGAAGCAATAGATAAAGTATGCACAAGTTAACTTTCAAAGGCTGAATCCTTTCTAGATAGCTATGAACCGGAAATCTAAGGGTATCCTATTGATCTTTGATGGATTGATTGTTTCAGACCTCCAACACTATGAAAATATTCTCAATATAACACATAAAATGAATTATTTCTCATAGAAAATGCCTATGGGCTCTAGTCATTTTAGAACAATTGTTTCATTTTTCTTAAATACCTAAGTTTGACTTCTTAGTTGCATCTCATAATATTTTAATGAGACAGGGAAATGATAATATATACTTTTAAAATTCTTACCATGCTCTGCTGGATTAGATTCATGAAGTCTGCCTATTGTATTATTGTCCCTTTGGGAAAAATAGTCCAATGCAGTGACAGACTGGGATTTAATGAGGCGTTCTGAACTGTGTTGATCAGATTCCTTATTTGAAACAATTTAAAAAAGACAAAAATAGGATCATAATTTGGCCATAACTTATTGAATATCTTCCTACTTGAATCAAAGGAATTTTCTATGAAGAATGGCTTTAAAAAAAATTCTTATGAGCTTTTAAAACACATAAAGCTAATGGAACTCCAAAACCAGCAAAACTCTACCTATGTCATATTAAATAATGTATTGGAATTGAATTAATATAGTATTTTCTTAGGGACATCTTAGAAGAAGATGAGAATTTTTATAGGAGGAAGCACAGTTTTGGGGAAACTACATTAGTATAACTAACAAATAAATACTGTTTAGCCACATATAGTAGCTTTCATTTGTGCAGCAAATAAATTAAAGATAAAATAATTTAGAATAAATATTGGCTTTGTTATATTAATTAAATTGAGATATAATATGCATAAGCAGAATTCATTTTCAGTTACAGTTTCAAATTAATTTGTTTTAACTACTTTCATAAATGAATTTAAAGTATATAGTGATTTTATAAACTTAGGACTAGAGCATTATAATTTATACTCTTTTTTAAAAATTGTATATACAAGATTAATTACTACTTTGTCTAGACATTAACTATCTATACTATAAATAAGACAAAGAGACAACTATCTATACTATGAACAAGACAAGTGAAAAGGGTAGAATCATTTCTTACATGAAGCACATCTATATTCACTTGGTGAAAATTACGGGATCTAAGTTCTTGCATTCTTTTAAGATTTTCTTGATATTTTTCTTCAGCCAACTGTCTGAAAGGAGAATACTGGTATCAATTGCAAACTGTAGCACTTCAAACGATTTTTAAAAAACATTTGATGTGTAAGAATGGAATGTAAATAGGCATAAGAAAGAAACACAAATACGTTGATCTGTTAATTCTTAATTCTGAAATGTAGCGGAATGACCTTGCCATTTCAAAAGAATATTAAATCTCCATTATTAAATAACTACATGGTCTTAAATATCAGAGTTATTTTAAGACTCTTAAGTATAAGAAACTAACAACAATAAAATAATACAAAACTGGATGCTTAAACCTGAAATACTTCTTTCCTTATATAGTTCTTCAAAGCTGAAATAAGGATTCTAACCTTTGGAAACCTAAGGGTTAGAAGAAGCTGTGAATGTAAAAGACCAAAAGGCAAAAAGCTGCTAAAGAATAAAGAAATAGCTTGAACTTCAGAAAACATGCTTCTATAAGAAACATTTGAAAACCACATGGAAGAACACACTGATATTGTTGGGTGTGAGTTTAAAGAGAAGAGGAGAAAGAGGAGCAAAATAAAAACAAAACAAATCTACTGTAGACTCGGGCATTCCCATATCTTGTCCTATGTTAGCATTGCTATGACAACGTGCGTGTCAATCAGTTATATCCAAATTTTGTTCTAATGCAGGGGTGTCAAATTCAATTTCATTGATGGCTGCATCGGGGTTGTGTTTGAGGGGGCGTGGCCATAGTGGGCATGACACAGAATTTGTGTTGGGGGCACCTGTGGTGGTCAAGAGCTAATGGAGGACTTCCCTGAGACTCTCCCAGAGGTGGTATTCAGCCGGTTCTGGCGTCCCGGTAACAAGAATTTGACGTGGGTCACAGAACTGGTAGTGACTTCTGGCTGGCCACGCCCATGAACCGGTTCCCCAGTCCCTGATGCCCACCTGATGCTCGCTAGCTCACGCAGCTTGCCCGCCCGCCACATGCTCCGCCCAGTCCATCCTCCCTTCCTGTGTGGCACGCTGGGCCCTCGTGGCTTGCCTAACCTGACTTCCCCACATGGTGCCTGCATCCCAACTGAGCAGTCCTGATCTGTCTGCCCTGCTCACAGGTAAGCCTGCGTTGTGTTAGGCCCTTGCCCACCCCCGGGGCCTTTCGGGGCCTCCCCCCACTGCCCAGGGCCTTTCCAGGCCTCCCTCCCACCGCCCGAGACTTTCCGGGTGGGAGGAGGTCAAGGTGGGGCATCTTTTTCGGGCCAGTCCAGAGGGCGGGGTGGACAGCGGCGGCTGCAGTGCGGCTATGGGAAGCAGCCCCAGGAGTTCCCGGCCTCCCTTTCAGAGCACCCCCACCAACCACCACCGCCCCCTCAGCCCCAGCCCCAGCGCAGCAGAGGAAGCAAACAGAAAGCCTTTCAGTTCGCTTTCTCCCTACCTTTTTGGGTGCTCCTGCCGCTGCCTCCGCTGCCGCCCCCTCAGCCCCAGCCCCAGTGCAGCAGAGAAAGCTAATGAAAAGGCTTTCAGTTCACTTTCTCCCTGCCTTTTGGGGCATCCCCACCCACCGCCCCTGCCGCTGCCCATGTGCTTCGAAAGGGAGGGGGGATGGATGTTCTGGGGCTGCTGCTTTCTTCATTGTCCCACCGCTTGCTGCTCTGGAGTTTGCCTAATAAGTTCTTCCCAGAAAAGGTGTGTGTGTGAGAGAGAGTCAAGGAAGGAAAGGAAGGAAGGAAGGAAGGAAGGAAGGAAGGGAGGGAGGGAGGGAGGGAGGGAGGGAGGGCCAGAAGGAAAGAGCAAGAAAGGAAGAGGAAGGGAGAGAAAGACAGAAGGAAAGAGGAAGAGGAAGAAAGAAAGAGAGAAAGAAAAGAAGAAGAAGGAAGAGGGGGAGAGAGAAAACTCTGTGCTGTTATCTTTAATTGTTCCATTATTTATCATATATTAATATTTTACACTGTCCCTACACCTAGAGTTATTTTATTGCCTTTCTTTTGCCCAGTTATTTTTCAGGGTTTACATGTCAGTAGTCCAGAGCACAAACACAGGTGGGTTTAACAGAGTTGAAAGGGACTATGGAGGTCTTCTAGTCCAACCTCCTGCTCAGGCAGGAAAACTGAGGGTGCCAAATTCTGAGTAGAGGTCCTGGGAAAGGTGTCAGAATAACAGAATAGCACTTAGAAGGGACCTTGGGGGGAACTCTATACCATTTCAGAGAAATGGCTATCCAGTCTTTTGTTAAAAACTTTCAGTGTTGGAGCACCCAGAACATCTGGTGACAAGCAATTCCACTGGTTAATTGTTCTCATTGTCAGGAAGTTTCTCCTTACTTTTAGGTTGCTTCTGTCTCTGTTCAGTTTCCATCCTGCTTTGGAAAATACATTGTTTGCCTTCTGGTGCTTTGGAATATACATTGCCCCCACTTCTTTCTGGCAGCTCCCTAAAAGCCTGTTGCCTATCATCCTCTTGGGCAAAGCATGTGAGCCATTTCCTCCTTTCAGTGGTCCATAAAGTACATCTATAGTACATGGATAATAAAGTCAACAAAAGGTGAACAACATTTTTACAGTATGTTGAGGCTGGGTGTGACAAGGAATGGCTGGGAGGGGAGGGGCCAGATGAGGCACCCCTTGACGTGGGTTGTCACACCTACCCAGTTGGCCACACCTACCCAGTCACATGACCACCAAGCTACGCTCACAGTCATATGACCACCCCAATCACATGGCCACTAAGCCACGCCCACCCAGCCACGTGATTCTAAGCCACCCCCACCAAATAAGCCATGCCCACAGAACCGGTAGTAAAAAAATTTGAATCCCACCACTGCACTCTCCCTCACTCTCATTATAATCTCCTTCCCTCCCTCCCTCCCTCCTTCCTTCCCTTCTTTTTCCTTCCCTCTTCATTCTCCTTTCTTAGTCCTTCCCCTCTTTCCTTCTTTTTCCTTCCATGCTCTCTTCCCATCTTTCCATCCTTTTTTCCGTCTTTGTCTTTCCCTTTCTCCTTTCCTGTCTCTTCTTGTATGCTCAAATGCAAAAGGCAAAACATTTCTTCTTTTTTGGGGTTTTGTTTTGCGTTCATTTTGATAGCTCTCTGCCAGTGAAAAATGGAACATGGGGGAGGGGGGGCTGCACACAACCACCACCACCCCGAACTCATTTTTTTCTGGCTGAGACACCGTGGCCTGGTCCTTTGCTGTTTTCAGGCTGGCTCTGTGTGCTGAATGTAAGTATTCCATGGGCTGGATCCGGCCCCCGGGCCTTGAGTTTGAAGCCCCTGTTCTAATGTAATAATGAGACTCTTTTTTAAACTTGTCTAAATTGACAACTGCAACTGTGCATTCACTAGTTTCAATCGCACTAACTGAATTTTGGGTCACATTAAAGGTAACTTGGGATCAATTTACAATTTGGTCTAAATTAAATACTGCATTATTAAAATTCAAAGTAATCATGACATATCTATAAAACATATATGGTACATACAGTATGTTTTGCTTTCCAATAATGAAAAAGGAACCTAACAGAGAAGTTACAAATGTTATTTATTATTCTAGTCCTTTGTGTGCTTCAAATACTGATATTATTTATTTATTTATTTATTTATTTATTTATTTATTTGTTTGTTTGTTTATTTATTTATTTATTTATTTATTTATTTATTTATTTATTTTGTCAAGCAATTATAAGATAACAGTTATAAGTACAAACATAATTATGGATCCATGAAATGGATACATATAAGAAAAATAAAAAAGAAACAATAGGACAGGGACGATAGGCACGTTGGTGCGCTTATGCACGCCATAATTCGTGGAATAATTATTTGCTTGCTTTCAAACACTTTTTTCAACACTCTTACAACTGTTTGGACAGTTATGACTATACAATATCATGCAGTTTTCTCTCTATTTGATAGTACAGGTATTTCAAAACCCTATAAATGGGCAAAATAACAAAAATAGGGTAAAAATAACAAAAAATAATAAATAACAACAGCAGGGAGGAGTTGGACTAGATGACTTGCAAGGTCCCTTCCAACTCAATTATTCTGTCTCTCTGACGAATCTGTAGTTCTAATAAAGTTGGCTTTAATCATAAATAGACACAAATTCTATACATCTTACTATTTTGAAAATTGTTATGTTTGCCCTATGGTATATCTCCCATTTAGTTTTGAAATATCTATATTACCAAATAGACAGAAAACCGCATTATATCGTATAGTCATAATTACTGTCCAAACAAATGGTAACAGTGATGGAAAAAGTGTTCAGAAAGCAAGCAAATAATTATTCCACTAATTCAGGAGTGTCAAGCTGGATTTCTTCGAGGGCCGGATCATCATTGTAGTTCTCCTACATGGGCCAGCTGGGGAGGGGAGAGACAGGACGGATGCCTTCTGCAGCACACTGCTGCCAAAACAGAGTGTGGGGGCTGCAGAAGGCCCCTGCACCAGTGGTGGGATTCAACTTTTTTTTAATACCAGTTCTGTGGGCGTGGCAGGGGAAGGATACTGCAAAATCTCTATTCCCACTCCACTCCAGGGGAAGGATACTGCAAAATCTCCATTCCCTCCCCACCCCACTAACCTGCTTTCCAGCTCCGTTCTCCTGTGCAGGGCAACAAAAGAAGACCCAGTCGATCAGCTGGGACTTGAGAGGCAGAGGACAGGGGCCAGTCAGAGATGGTATTTTCCGGTTCTCCAAACTACTCAAAATTTCTGCTACCTGTTCTCCAGAACTGGTCAGAACCTGCTGAATACCACCTCTGCCCTGCACCCTGTTTTCAGCCTCGATGGTCTCTTTCAGTACCCTGCTATCAAAATGGGGTGCAGGGGGGGCACGTGAACTCCCTGTGCCTCATTTTTGGCCTGGACGGCTTCCTGCAGCATGCTGCCAACCAAAATAGCTTCCAGTAGCACCCTGCCAGCCCCATTTTAACTGCCAGAGGCACCACAGACCGGTCCTTTGCTATTTCCAGGCTGGCACCGCAGGCCTGGAGTTTGACACTCCTGCACTAATTGTACTAAGTGTATGAGGCACACAAAGGACTAGAATAATAAATAATATCTGTAACTTCTCTGTTAAATTCCTTTTCAGAATTAGGAAGTATTAGAAATATACTATATATAGAATAGAATAGAATAGAATAGAATAGAATAGAATAGAATAGAATAGAATACCTTTATTGTCATTGCATTCCACGAATACAATGAAATTTGATAGCTACTCCAGCACAGTCCCCCAAACACCACATCACAATCATACTACAGAGCATTTAAAAATTAAAATAATAATAATAGGACTAAATCACAAATGCACTGTTTGATTCAAGACAATTACTGCCTTGGAAAATAAACTGTTTCTCAATCTATTAGTCCTCATTTTAAGACACCTATAACGCTTCCCTGATGGTAACAGATTGAATTAATGTCCAGGATGAGAATGGTCTGTGGAGATTTTTAGTATTCTAGAGAGGAGTCTGGTCTTCGCAATCTCTTCCAAAGAAGAAAGAGAGCAACTGATGATTTTTTTGTGCTGTGTTTATAACTCTCTGGTTATAACTCTGTTTATAACTCATTTTCTTATCCACTGCAGAACATCCAGCATACCACACAGTGTGCCAAAATGCTCTCGATGGTAGACCAGTAAAAAGTAACCAGCAACTTCTCACCCAAACCACTCTTTTTCAGCAACCTCAGAAAGTGCCTTCTTTGCAGTGGCCATAGTGTGGACCGACCAAGTAAAGTCGTCAGAAATATGAGTTCCTAGAAATTTAAAACTATGAACTCTTTCCACGCAGTCTCCATTGATATATAGTGGGAGAGGATCTGCTTTGCATCTTCTGAAGTCTATAATCAATTCTTTGGTCTTTTTGATGTTCAGAGTGAGGTTATGACTCTTACACCACAAGACCAGTCTGAGAACCTCTGACCTATAGGTCGTCTCATCTCGTATAGTTTACAAGAGAGAAATATAATGATTGAGAACATCAAATCATCACTTTCTGATTATACATGCTATTGATAAAATTATAAATACTGATGACTAACACAAGTGTTTGCTTACTTCAGCTTCTGTGCTGTTTGATCAGCTAAAGTTAATTTCCGCAATCGCATCCGTTCGCGTGGTGTCATTTTCTGCATTTCAGATATGGTCCTTAGAGTTTGGAGATGTACCTTTTTCTTTCTAAAATTGAGGCGAAATAATAAAATTGAAATAAAAAATTGGAGGAAAGAAGGCAGTTAGTGATATCAAGCTGGAAAGAGAAGTTTATTTCATGTGTGTTAAAGAAAATTCACAAATTCACAAAAATATCCCTTATGTCATGTGTTGAAGGAAATTCACACATACACACCTCGCCCCATCTTCCCAGGGAAGATTTAGTTGCATAAAGCTACCAATTTTAAAAAATTAAATTCAATTTAAAAAGTGCTGAACCATCATTTTATTCATAGTTTTGTTTGCTGTACTTAAACTTGCTTGTTTATAATAGTGCGCACATTATCAACAGATTAGTACTGCCAACAAATGAAAAGATGCAATTAAGATGCTTGGTACATTAACAAAAGGAAGATTCTAATTGTATTAATTTTTAATATCTTACTTCATTTATAATTAAATTATGTAAATCAAGAACTTTGAACTCATTTCATTTGACACGACTGATATTAATTTTTTACAAAACAAAAAGAACAAAGGGATATCCTTGAAGTTTTAATAATAATATAAGAAATGAAAAACTATACTAATGACATTATCTTTTTTTGCCTCATTATCCAATGTACCATAAAAATTCTAGCTTTGCAGTTTAAGCAGAAGAGTATTGACTATGAAGTGTACACTGGATCATTTTATTAATTGCTTTGAGCTATATAGTAAGGATGTTAGGAGATATTAAGAATCAAGATATGAGATGCCAGATAATCTTGATGTTGAAAAACCAGTTCTTTGTTTAGTGTTGCTTATTGTGCCCTAAAAAGAATAACACTGCCATACATCAATGACATCTCAGAAATCAACAACTAATAAAACCACATGGAATCAGAATAGTGAACAAGCCAACCAAAGCTCTTCAAAACATCCTACACAAACAAAAAGACCAGCAGCTCCAGAAGAAAAAACAAGAATCATCCACAACAGGGGTGTGAAACTTGATTTCATTGAGGGCCGCATCACGGTTGTGTTTGGCCTCGGAGGGCCAGTAGGGGGGAGATGGCTGGAGGACATGGTCGTGGTGGATGTGGTTGGGGGGGGGGCTTGGTCATACTGAGCATGACATGGGACTTGTGTCGGGGGGGCACATCTGGTGGCCAAGTGCTAAGATAGGACTTCCCTGAGACCCTCACTCACTTTCATTATAGAGGTAATCCCCAAGGTACGAATGTAATAGAGCCTGACAATTACATTCATAACCCAAGGATTTATTTGATTGAATCACATTAAATGAACGTGATCACTCCCTGCTTTCCCCAATGCGTTTATTAACTGAATGTGCAGGTCATTAAATGCACATGAGTATCTCAGAGTGAAGAAGAGCATGCGGGGCCTAGTGCTGGAGCAGGCCATCCAAGGCCTCCCCCAATCTACTTAGATACCTCATACTCCCTGGGTGTCTCCACAATTGCTTCCCCCCCCTCATCCTGCCCCACTGGGTCTCCATAAACTGAGCCTGCTTTGCTAGCATCCAGATTCCATTTACTCTTCCCCAACCCATTTCCCATGGATTATTTACTTTTTGAAGAACTCCAGAGCTCCAGAAGAGGCTGACCCACTGGCAGAGAAGCCAAAGTATTTTATATAGATGATGGCAAAGCTGTAAGAATGTAAACTCTAAGGAAAACATTTTTGCCTACTTCTGAATAAAAATTTCAGCTTGGGGCCATGTGGACAGCAGGCCTCTGTTAGTATAAAAGGCCTCCTGCTTCAGGACAGCTTCAGGGATTGAGGCAGCAGCAGCAGCCAATCAACGAGGAGCTTGCTTGCTTTGTCTCATTGTGTTGAACTGCAAGCCCCTTGTTGATTGGCTGTCATGCCCCAATCCTGAAGCTCCTCATTCGAACTAGCCGCAAGCAGGAGGGTACTTGTTGCCAGCCAGACTGGGTCCAAACTAAGTCTGCAGGCCCTCAGGGCAGAGAAGCCAGTAGGGGAAAGCTGTTTTCCTTACACCTCATGTTCTTACAGTTTCATGGACTTTTGAATAAAAGATTTTGGCTTCTCTGCCACATGGGTCAACTCTTCTGGAGCTGTTTGAAAAGTAAGTACAGAAAAGCCATGGGAAATGTGGTGGGGGAGAAGTAAGTGGAATCTGGGATGCTAGCAAAGCAAGCACAGTCTGTGGAGAAGGCCGAATGGAGATTCAGAGGGCCAGATGCAACCCAAGATACTCCATTTAGGCCTGTAACAGGCTAGGGGAGGCCTGGCAGAATGCTGCAGGAAGCCGTCCAGGCTGAAAACCGGCCATGGGAATGTTGTGCATGGCCCCCTTGTGCCGCATTTTCCCTAACAGAGGCACTGTGGGCTGGTTCTTTGCTATTTCCAGGCAGGCCCTGTGGGTGTCAGCTTTCAAGATTCCTTTCCTTTCCTTTGCATCTTTTGGCTACCATAGTAATGGGGGTGGTGGTGAAATAATTGGGTTTTGTCTGGGTGGGAAATGTGCTGGAGGTTTTAGAGAATGGACTGTATAACTTGGGGAAAAACTTTATTGTTTATGCTTGCTTGCTTGCTTACTGCGCAGTTGCAGCTCTTTATCAAAATAGGCCAAGGTCAATGGCCAGATGTCTGCAACACCTGAAGATGCTCCACATGACATTATACACATCTTCGATTGGATTGACAGTTTGAACTATTGTGGGTGGGAACGTTGCCATCATTTTGTATATGTGTTTTTGCGTGCAATTCCTCAGATTCAGAATTCCTTTGATGATTTCCAGTAAAAGATATTTTCTCTATTAATCTAAATGTGTCTTTCTTGGATTTTGAATGGAGCACCACCTGACAGCGGGCCAGATCTGAGCACCCCATGGGCCGGATTCGGCCTGCAGGCCTTGAGTTTGATACTCCTGATCTACAATATATAGTGTAATACTGCAACAACCACTAAGTAGGACAAACATGCAGAAAACTGGCAGAATGCACTCAGGAATATCAACTAGCAGTTAAAAGACATGATGAAAACTCTTTAATTTTGCAACATCTGGACAGACTTAGCTATAGTTTCAATTAGTAAACTGTCCTAGACCATCCTAGACCAAGCCAAGATCAAAACCACTAGGGAATTCTAGAAGTGTGGCACTCTGACAAATTAGTCATCAATGGATACATACACATAAATAATATCTATAGACTATACAAAAGAAACAATGAACAAGCCAAAAAAGGGAGCAAAAAGACTTAAGACTTCCTGACCAGCAATCAGCATCCAGATGAGCATATATTAACTCCAAGATTAACATCAGACCAACAACCAAGTAAACAATACCCTAATCAAGAAACTGCCAAACAAAGTAAACAGTCCAATCACTCTATGATGGGGGTAGACTCTAAGACTACACCCATCAACAGTGATAGGGCAATCGACTAGAATATAAACTGAGAGCAAAACCCATTCCTTACTAGCATTGATATTACCTACTTTGGTCCGCAAGAAAATAGCCAAGCTAAGAGAGCACCAAAGACCTTTTATTTTAATCCTGACTTACAAATATTCTCCTTTCTGAAGTGAGAATAGTGCCATAGGTATTGATAGACCCCCAAACCCACATCTGTGTTGAAAACTGGTAAAAGGTGAACTGAAATTAGAGAGATTATGGCCATGTGCTCAAGACATCTGTTTAGAATTTCTCTTGTTCAATGAGTCATAAGAAAAAAGAGAAAAGATTCATTCAGTTATCCTTTCCCCTTTTTAAACTGCAATTTGTCCTAGGATTCTGAAAACGAAATATGCTGTTCTAATAGGTAAGAGATTAGCTGATATTAGTAGGCAGGCATAGCAAGATGTGACTAGACTCACCTACTATCACCTGTGTTTGAGTTGGGTGATCATATATATTTGTTTAATAAATTAATTAATAAATAAAAAAGTTATTCCATATAGCAGAGTTGCAAACCCATTGCAGCAGATCATAAAATTATCTACATTTTCCGATTCCCTATCATGGATTTTACTCATTAAAGATATATATACTTTGATCTGCATAATCAGGAGACAATGAAGATCTTGTTAGTGAATCAGCCATCTTGATACGTAGTAAAGTCCTTGACTGAACTGCCATGGATAGATTTCAAAGAGATTCTGATGGCTTCTGTTATTTGGGGATTATAACATCCATTCTTGAGAGTGGCAGTTTATGACCCAAAATTGATACACCTATGAACTGATATTTCCACAAAGTTGCAATTGATGTTCAATTTTGATTGGGCAGAGATGGTTCCTGGCCATCCAGAAATCTAGTCATCCAACAGTGATATGGAATGCTTGGAAGTGCTTCAAGTCCAAGATAAGCACTCTCTATCTGTTGATTAAAGAGGTCTTAAAGAAACAGTAATTTAGGATTGCTTCTTGTTGCTATATGTTTAATGTTTATGTATCCAGCGGAAAATTGGAATAAATAGGCTAAGGAATCTCTGTTAGTTCTGTAATGCCATAATTACTTGATGCAAATTGCCTTTTCAAAATAGGAAAAAAATAAGTTATATCTTGGGTCTACAGCAATTCTTGTAATAGCCAAATCTTTACGATGTTATTGGATTTAACAATTTAGAATTGCTAAAAAAGTACCTAAATTCTGATCAGATTAAATGTTGTTGCATTTAAAACATCAGGATTGGAAAGAGAGAGGGTTTCTATACTGCAATGTTTTCAAACTTGGAAACTATACGTTTCTGAACTTCAGGTCTCAGAATTCCCTAGCCAGTCATATTAAAAATTCTGGGAGTTGGCGCTCATGAAGCTCAGACTGATAAACAAAGAGACAGATATCATGTTTCCCCAAAAATACGACCTACCCTGAAAACAAGCTCTAGCCCGGTTTTCATGCCTGCACCTAATATAAGCCCTACCCCCAAAATAAGCCCTAGTTAAGGCTCACCCACCATCTGGTTGTACAAGGTGGGGGGAGGCGCAGGCATAAAAAATCACCCCAGGGCAGGGGTGGGGGTGGAGCTGCCCCACATGTCCCACACCCACTTACCTTAGGGTTGGCCCATTGCATTGGTATAGCCATTCGCAGGATGCCATGATGCACTGGTGCTGCCATTTGTGGCAGAATGCCATGGGGCTCATTGCACCGGTGCTGTTGCTCGCATGCACAACGATATAACACACCACACAGCCTCTTGCTGTAAGCGGTAGTACCGGCATGATGAGTCAGATAAGTTGTCCTGCCACACATGGTGGCACTGGCGCAACGAGCCTCATGGCCTTTTGCCACAAGCAGCGGCACTGATGCAATGAGCCTTGCGGTATCCCGCAAGAGGCCGAAGAAGTCAAGCAGCAGCATGACAGGTGTCAGGGCATGAGCGGTGTGGCTGCGGTGGCCCTAAGGTAGGTGGATAAGACCTCCTCCTAAAATAAGACCTGGTGCTTATTTTGGGACCAAAAAGAAAATAAGACCAGCTCTTATTTGGGGGGGAATATGGTATAATTTGGCAGCAAACAATAGAAAATAAGAGTTAGGGTTAGTATTAGAGATGAAGGCAAGCAAAAAAATTCGAACAGAACTTATTAGCAAATCAAATAATACTAAGATCAGATTTTTACTGATATTTTACTGATATGAAGGAAAAGTATAGAATATTAATACTTAAGACAATTAATGTTGCTTCAAAAGGAAGCTAAAAAAGGAATGATTGCCATAGCAGAATGAAGCAGTAATTGATAATTAATGGAATGGAATGTAAACTGTAAACTAGGATTAGAAGAAAACACAATTCCAGATGCAAGTAAAACTCAAAGGGATGTGAGTTTAATTACTCATTATTAATTATTCTATTTATTTATTTTATTTATTTATTTATTCTATTTTGATATTTTAATAGTATTCAAATTAGTTTAGTTCATGAATAATGCAAATAGAACATATTATTCATATTAATATAGAAAAATGTCACAATTATTTTTGAAATATATGACAGTTATTGTAAATTAATTGATGGCCTTGTTAATGCCTGAAATTTCTGTAAAGAATCTTCTTAAGAGAAGAGGCAACAGATATGTACAAGTTATGAACTTTTTATGGAAATGCATTTCTCTTTTATTTGGTTTTGGTGATTTGGCCACTTTTGATTTGATTTGCTTTTGTAAATTTCAATAATCACATACTCACACAGCACTTATTAAATGATCAGCTTCTTCCTGGGAATTCAACATCCAATCCTTTTTAATTGGTATGCTTATATTTGTGTGCTTATATTTCATAATCTGTCAGAAAACAAGAATTGTAATATTTTAATTTTTTTATACTGAAGTATTTCATGACTTCTGGCTCCTTTACAAAGCTAATTTTTTTTATGTTTCACATAAATTGCATTTAGCAGATTCTGCACTTAGGAAACGGACAAAGTAGGCGACTTGCAAAGAATATCTCTGCTGAAATAGGCTAAACTTAAGGCCTGACTACCCCAAACTTCTCTTTCCTTAATGATCATTAATAGCTCCATAGACTTTCCTCTGATATTATGACACATGGTATTGAGTGGCATGCTGCCTCTGACACTGGATATTTTATATGTAATGTTCAGCAGGGTTCCGTGTTTTCTCTGTTCCTGTTTAATATCTGGAGCCACTGGGTGAGATCATTCATCATCAGAGGGTGAGATATCATCCATATACTAATAATACCCAGATTTATAATCTGCCCATGATGAATTAAGCAATGCTTTTTGATGTCCTGTCTTGGTATCTGGAGGCTGAGGTGGGGTGGGGGTGCTGAATGGGAAATACTAGGCTTCAATTTTGCCCTGGAAGATTGAGTAGATTGGGTTTGGCACTGTTCCGATTCTATGGATTACCATCTCTTATTCTGGAATAATAAAATAAGTAGCACTCTCCTAAAAAGACAAAGTGCAAAATCTGGGGTCCTCAGACATTTGTGACTTCTCAAAGAGCAAGTGGCAGCCTATGGACCTATGCAGAGATTGGTATACATGTCTTAGAAAAGAAAAATACTAATAAAGTTGGCTATATTTTCACTGGTTATCATTTCTTTCTCTAAAAGGGACAAAGGCCTTTAATTGAAATACAAAAGAAATGCCATTATTTCTAGTCAATTGCAATCTGTTCTATTCACTTTATTCTCTTTGTTACAGCATTTCTATATTATTTTAAACGTGTTTTTAACATGTGTGGTGTATAATTGCCATGATGTTCTGTTTCCCAGAATTTTAATAGATCTAAAGTGGCACTTTACACCACTTATCAGCTTGATACTAATCCAAACTTTAAACAAAAGCATAGTAGTATAATTTTGGAGATGTTCCAAATATTCAAATGAAGCTCCGGGAATAAAAATCCAAAGTATTTTCCTCTCCTGAGGGGACAGTGATCTACAAGTGAGTTGTGCCTGTATTTTAAAATTGTTCTTTTTTAAAAAAAATTGAGGGTGGGGCTCTCTCCTCTGTCTGTCTGTCTCTGAGTGTGAGAGACATTTACTCGACTTTCCAAAAATTTAAATTACTAATAGCACTTGATCCCTATTTCACTTCTATCAAATTCTGAACATCTAAAATGAAAAGTTTTAATTTTTTGGAGGTAGAATTTTCAGAATATGAATGTAGACTGCTAAAATCCAATTGATCTCATAATAAAATAGCACTTCTGTCAATCTTGTAATAATACAGATCCTTCTGCATTAAATATTCAATTAAATATCTTACAGATCAATGACTTTAGATATAATTCTCTAGAATTTGATTGGTATTTCCTGCAACCTTACTTATAACTGTATTTTAGAGTTTTAACTTTTTTATAATACATTGACTTTTTAATCTATGTTTCTAGGTATGTCTAAGAAGGCATTCCGAATACCTGTAACTGATCATCAATGTATGAAGTTCTTAAAATCTCTGCAGCTGATGGCCTCAGTGAAGGGTCCTTATTTAGCATTCTAAAATATTAACAATATGAAATGAATCAATATTGACATTAACAAAAGATATAATGGGAAAAAAAACAATTTAAATCCAAACAAACATACCCACCTATGCAGGACAGCATCAAGTTCTCTTGGAAAATTGTCTGGAAGAGATGGTGTTTTGCTCTCTACAATTTTCAGAACAATAGACAAAAAACTATGACCAGTAAACGCATGATTCAAACAACACACTTCATACAAAATGCATCCAAGTGACCTAGAATGCAAGATAAAAATAATTCAGGGACAAGCAGTGATTCTAAATTAATGCCTAGTGACTGCTTATATTTATCTTGTAGTCCTGGTGAAAAGAAATTATAAGTCTCCTACAGGTAAAAATAAAATATACTTTCTCCAAACTATAAAATCATACCTAGCATAAATTTAGATATGAGTAATAAAATTGATTTTTGTGATCAACCTAGGCAAGATAAAAATACATATCACAGGTAATATTCTAAAAAATACAGATTATCCTCGAGTTATGGTCATTAGCCAGAATTATGGTCATAAATCATTGCAGTTATAAGGCATCGCATGATTCAAAGTTATGACCATTTTTATGATAGCTGATAGGTGAACATAGTGATCATTAAGCATTAAGCAAACATTGCACTTGTTAAGCAAATAAGTGGAGCACAAGGTACCTCATGGCTGAGGGAAGGCCCTGAAAAGCCTAGAACAGGTTGTTAGATATTTACATATGCACCTCCGATTGGTTGGTCCATGACGGCACGAATTTAAAGAATTTAAATTTACCATTCGACCCAATGACCGAGGCAGGGGTGGGATTTTACCACTTCGGACCAGTTCTATAGAACCAGTTGTTACAATTCTGCGCAGTTCGGAGAACCAGCAAATCACACCACTGGCTGGCTCCTCCCTTCCCCACCCGCCCTGTCCAGGTGCTTTCCTGAGGCCCAGTTGGGGTGGTATTCAAGGGGTTGGGGGAGGGAGAAGTGGCCTGAGAGCAGAACTGAACCTTTCTTAGGATTGAAGCTTCTATTTTTCAGTGCAGACTCAGGCAGCAGGTTGCAGAAAGGTAGATCTTGGAGTGAAGCTGTGATTCTGCAAGCAGCTCAATCTGCCTGCCTGCTTTGCCTGATTTTGGGTAAAAGTTGCCTTTTTTTAAAATAAAAAATTCAATCTTTACATATATATTTACAATATTTACATGTCACATGACCACCAAACCACAAATTTGGCCATGCCCACAGAACCAGTTGTTAAGAAATTTGAATCCCACCCCTGGACTGAGGACTGGGAATCCTATGTCAACCAATTCCAGATGTTCCTGGAAAGCAGCGACCTGATGGGCATTATGGAATAGAAGAAGCAAGCCGTCTTCCTCACACATTGTGGCCTTCTGTTTTCAAAATGGCTAAAGCTCTCGTAGCCCCAAGAGATGTGAAAATGATGGCCTGGGCTGACTTAGAGAAAATTCTGAGGGACCATTATACCCCACCGGTATCCATCCTAATTAAGAAGCACGAATTCTACCGGAGAGACCAGAAGGAAGGACAGAGCATCGACAACTTCATTGCAAGCCTGAGGGATATTGCCAGAGTATGAGAGTTCCTGAATGTGGATGAGGCAATGAGATCGCGTAGTCCTGGGACTCAGGGACTTGACACTACAAAGCTGCCTCCTTACAAAACCTAAAATAACACTCAAGGAGGCTGTCAGATGGTGCTCCATTCAAAATCCAAGAAAGAAATACTTAGACTCCATTAATTAGAGAAAAGATATCTTTTACTGGAAGTCAAGTGGTAGCAACAGAAGAATTCTGAATCTGAGAAAATGAGCGCGTAAATCACATATACAAAGTGATGGCAACGTTCCCACCCCCAGTAGTTCAATTGGCTCATCCAATTAAAAGTTGTGTATAGCATCATGTGGGCATCTCCAGGTGGTGATGAGGCCTCTGTCCGTTGACCTTGACATATTTTGATAAAGAGTTGTGGCTGCGCATAGCATAGGATAGAAGCCTAAGCAAGAATCTCCCCTCCAACTTATACAGTTCTGCTTTGTAACACCTCCAGCTCGCTTCCCATAACCATGTCCCCCCTCCTCCCCTTGTTACATGATGCAAAGCAAAGGAAGAAAAGCTTGAAAACTGACAGAGGCCACCAAAGAAGCATCGGCCTTAGAAGCAGCCCCAAAATCTGCTGCTGCTATGAGGAAGATGAATAAGACACTGCAATCCCCTCAAAAGGACAATGATGCCTTTCAGCAGACACCACAACCCCTTCAAAAGGACGACACCGCCATTCACCATGAGGACCTCAAATCCAAGTCGGGATCAGGCGACAACGAGGGAGTGAACCAACTATGTTCGGGAAGGCGCCACAAAAGCCGAGAGTGGAAGCAGAAGGAATTTTGGTGTGTAGGTTGCGAGGGAAATCACCTACGATCATAATGCCGTTTCCGTGATGCCATCTGCCAACGATGTGAGTGGAGGGGACACATCACAAGGGCATGCCGAGCATTCAAGCCAAACAGCAGAAGGCCAAGACAAAGCACACCTCAAAGGAAATGGGAAAATCAACCCGAGAACTGCCGGGGCCAATTCAGCTGGAACCGATGGAGTAACGAGTTGACCACAGCGACGAGTGAAATGCACCAGACAGTGACAGTGGGTCACTCCAGCACAGAAAATGCCAGAAAACTCCATGTTCAAGTCACGATAGAAGGTAAACAATGATAGAAAGTAAACAACAAACTAAAAGACTCAAGGTCCATCCCACCCTTGATAGGACCTGATGGTAAAGACTGCAACGACGACACCATTAAAGCCAACATCTTTAACACATTCTTCGGCTCAGTATTTGTAAACAGCAATGGATCATGCCCAGTATTTCCTAGCCGTACCACAGATAACAACAATGATCTAATACATATCGATTTTACAGAAGACAATGTTGAAAAAGCACTACGCAATCTAAAACCATCTCTATCTATTGGACCGGATGGAATATGTGCCTACTTCTTAAAAAAGCTATCCACTGCCATAGCCAAACCTCTAAGCATAATCTTTGAAAAATCTTTCAAGACCAGCTCCTTGCCTAACCTATGGTCACAAGCCACAGTCATCCCCATCTTCAAAAAGGGAGACCCAAGCCTAGTTGAAAATTACAGACCAATCTCCTTATGCTGCGTCACCTGTAAAGTCATGGAATCAATTATTAACCAATCCATCATCCTCCACTTAGAGACAAACGACCTACTCTCCAATAAACAATTTGGTTTCAGAAAAAAACTATCCTGTAATCTGCAACTCTTACACTGCAAAAACATATGGACGACACAACTCGACCAGGGCAAAGCAATAGACGCAATCTACATAGACTTCTGTAAAGCCTTTGATTCAGTGGTACACGACAAACTACTCCTAAAAATAAAATCCTATGGTATCTCTGGACAACTGCATAACTGGATAGAAGCATTCCTGGCAAACAGACAACAAATGGTCAAAATTGGGAGCGTCCTATCAAATTCTGTACCTGTCAATAGTGGTGTCCCCCAAGGCAGTGTTCTAGGACCAACTCTCTTCACACTCTACATAAATGACCTCTGTGATCATATTAAGAGCAATTACGTTCTTTTCGCTGATGATGTAAAGCTGTTCAATACCACAGACAATACTGCTACCCTACAAAAAGATCTTGACTATGTATCAGAATGGTCAAACAAATGGCAACTTCAAATCTCAACAAATAAATGCTCTGTCTTACATATTGGCAAAAAAAATCAGAAAATAAAATACAAGCTGAATAGTCAAGATCTTGTTGATGACTCAAGCTCTGTAAAGGACCTTGGAATACTCACCGCTAATGATCTAAGTGCTAGAGCCCACTGCAACTACATAGCCAAAAAGGCATTAAGAGTTGTTAACCTAATCCTACGTAGCTTTTTCTCTGGTAATATCACACTACTAACCAGAGCATACAAAACATTTGCTAGACCAATACTTGAATACAGTTCATCAGTCTGGAACCCACATTACGTATCTGATATTAGCACAATTGAGAAAGTCCAGAAATATTTCACAAGAAGAGTTCTCCACTCCTCTACTCGTTGTAGAATACCTTATGCCACCAGACTTGAAATTCTAGAACTAGAAAACCTTGAATTACGCCGTCTTCGGTCTGATTTAAGCATGGTATATAAAATCATACATTGCAATGTCCTACCTGTCAATGAATACTTCAGCTTCAACCATAACAACACAAGAGCACACAATAGATACAAACTCAAAGTTAACCGCACCAAACTTGATTGCAGGAAATACGACTTCAGCAATAGAGTGGTCAATGTCTGGAATACTCTACCCGACTCTGTAGTTTCTTCCCCAAACCCCAAAAACTTTAACCTTAGACTGTCTACTATTGACCTCACCCCTTTCCTAAGAGGTCTGTAGGGGGCGTGCATAAGCGCACCAACGTGCCTACCGTCCCTGTCCTATTGTTTCTCTTATTCTTCTTTTATTTTTCTTATATGTACCCATTTCATGTATTCACAACTATGTATACACTTATACTTATTATCTTGTAAACAATTGGCAAATCAAATAAATAAATAAATAATAAAATGCCAGATGGAAGTGGATTCTGGATTTCTTCTGTCGATGGTGTCGTGGGACACCATCAGAAGTCTAATTCCCAACCTGACAAAAGGCCAGCTGTGCAAGCAACGATTAATCCTAAAGGATTATCAAGAGAACAAGATTCCCATCATTGGCATAGGTGAATTCTGGGTGATCTTCCGAAACTACTCAGGAATTCTACCTTTAACCATGATCGGCCAGGACTAACCAAGTCTGCTGGGACTCGAGTGGTTCAAGCCATTGAGGATCAATTTCACCAGAAGCCACACCATCACAGAAAGTGATTGGGAAGACAACCTGATGGAGGAATTCTGGGACGTGTTCGACGGAAAATTGGGCAAGTACTCGGGGTCCCCTATTTCGTTTAACCTAGACCCAAACATAGCCCCAATCAGACTCAAAGCGAGGTGAGTCCCATTCACGCTTAAACCAAAAATAGATGAGCAATTAGACAAGCTCATTTCCCAAGGAATCCTAGAACCCATAGACCATGCAAGATGGGAAACTCCTATCGTCACACCTATAAAGCCAGATGGATATCTGTGCTGACTATCGGGCCACCCTTAACCGCGCCCTACAACAGAGTGCATACCCCATCCCAGTGGTGCAAC